CCCCAAAACCCCAAAACCCCAAAACCCCAAAACCCCAAAACCCCAAAACCCCGGTTTTGATAATAAAATTTGAAAATATTTGAGTATTCATTCATTGAATTCTAGAACTCAGAAGGGCAAAGCTAACTGGGATTAGGCTTTGATACCTCTAGAACCCACTACGCAACTAAGAGTAATACTTTAGAGATTACTTAAAGCATCTCTGGGTCAACAGTGGCGTGCGTGTTATTCAACTTGTCCCTCATATTGTCGAAGTTTCGACGTTTCTTGTTCTGAAGATTCTTGATTTTGTCGATAGTCTTTTCATATCCTCCTCAAAGTTTGTGCTTGATGTTCAATTTCTTGGAATTAGGATGCTTCAAGCGGATGATGTGGCACTGCTCTAGGATAGTTTTAGTTAAAGAACTATTGTTATTAACAGTGTTGTTTGTCTTTTCTCTCTTAGAGTTCGCTATGGAAATTTAGACCAAGAATTAGGAATAAAAACAGCTCTAGAGATGTTTAGAGTATAATTTGAGCAGTTTTAGATCAATTTTCTGTTACATTAATTGATATAAATCCTTATCAGGATAGTAAAAACTGAGTTGTCTATTCTAACTCACTGAGGAGCCTATTAGCAGAGTTTAATACAGAAAACTTTGAAAATTTATACCAAAATAGAAGAAATTCTTGATCGGTTTCATATACTAATAGATAACTTAGGATCTAGAGTAATCTCTCAAAACTCTTATTGCCAGGATATATTCAGAAATGAGGTATGTCCGTAGATATATATCTTACCTTTGCTCAGGAAGGTCACTGACATATTCTTTCTATCTGAATGCTGCTCAGATTTTAGAATAGAAGGATTCTCTGCCAAGGATTGAGGAGATTTGTGAGAATTTATTTTAGATGAATTTGGTCCAAAATCAGATTTATTGTATAACGATCCTTCTAACTCTGTCCTTAAATAGACGGAGGTAGCTGCTTTGAAGTGTGTTTTATTGTGAATATTAGGCAATAAGTGCTTTGGCATTGCTGTGATATTCATCTTTCGAACGTTACGAATTGTTGATTTTAGTGACTTGTTAGCAAGGTCCTTAGCCCTAAACTCAGAAGTCATCCTGCTGTTGAGGGTGTCGTAAACTCTCTCGATTCCACTTTTTGCAGTATATCTGAATTGTGGTCCAAGTTCTTTATCCTCTTCTCTAGGCCGCAGTGATTTTTCAAATTTATCTTTGGAAGGACTGGGTACACTATCTCAAAACTGCTGATTAGATTTGATATTAGCTGCTATTCTTTCCTTCTCAGTCCTGAAATTAGTATACCTAAAATCTCTGAGTGGGGCATCCCAACCATCAGAAGTTGATTTCGAAGTTTTATGAATTTTAGTTGAATGACTCCTCATTTTTCCAGTATTATCATACTTAGTGGCTGCTTCACTGTCATTATAATAAGTCTGAGACAATTTAGAAGCATTACAGCTAGAGTCTCTCTCATAATTAGACCCTCTACAAAAGGTCAGGCGGTTAGTATACTCATCATTCTGCCTCACCGGTCCATCTGCCATATCCCTTATAAAATTCTTGACTCTCCTCTGATAATTCTCAGCCATCAAATCCCTAATCCTTCGATGGACGACCATATTCTTCTTCTGTTTCTCCTTCTGTGACTTAACAGAGTCTTCTAGATGACTTCTCTTATCAAACGCATACACATTGAACATTTTATTCTATCAATATATAATTTATCCCAAGGGGTTTTGGGGTTTTGGGGTTTTGGGGTTTTGGGGTTTTGGGG